ATAGATAGATAGATAGATAGATAGATAGATAGATAGATAAAAAAAAACCCCCTCTCACCCCTATGGGTGGTATGTTCCTCAAACTCCGGTCCTCTATTAGAGGCCTGGAAATTTAAGGGTTCTGCACAATATCTTAGCTGTTCCTACCACTGCACTCTTCTGGGCAGAGAGCTCTGATGTTGTTCCTGGGATCTGCTGGAGCCACTCTCCCAGCTTAGGAGTCACAGCCCCGACTGCTCCTACCACCTTTGGGACCACTTTGGCCTTTACTTTCCACATCCTCTCTAGTTCTTCCTTCAGGCTCTGGTACTTCTCCAGCTGCTCATACTTCTTCCTCCTGATGTTGCTGTCACTTGGTACTGCTACATCTATCACCATCTACCACTTCTGGTCCTTGTCTAGTACCACGATGTTTGGTTGATTGGCTAGTACTTGCCTGTCCATCTGGATCTGGAAGTCCCACAGGATCTTAGCTCTGTTATTCTCCATGACTTTTTGTGGAATCTCCCATCTGGACTTGGGAGGGTCCAGCCCATACACTGTGCCGATGTTCCTGTACACAATGCCAGCTACTTGGTTGTACTGTTCAGTGTATGCTGTTCCTTGCCTGTATCTTACACCCTGCCAATATGTGTTGGACTGTCTCTGAGGCATCTCTCCACAATCTGCACCTTGGGTTCTGTCTAGTGTGGTAGACCCCTGTTTCTATGGATCTGGTGCTTAGTGCTTGTTCTTGTGCTGCTATAAGCAGTGCCTCAATGCTGTCTTTTAGTCCAGCCTTTTCGAGCCACTGGTAGGATTTCCCAACATCAGACACCTCAGCTATCTATCAATGGTACACCCCATGCAGGGGCTTGTCTTGCCATGGCACTTCCTCCACTTGAAGTTTATACACACACACACACTATGTATGTATGTATGTATGTATGTATGTATGTATGTATGTATGTATGTATGTATGTATGTATGTATGTATGTATGTATGTATGTATGTATGTATGTATGTATGTATGTATGTATGTATGTATGTATGTATGTATGTATGTATGTATGTATGTATGTATGTATGTATGTATGTATGTATGTATGTATGTATGTATGTATGTATATAAAAATAAACTAAAGGTGGCGAACATATCTGATACTCCTGCTTCCTATTTTCCCCACAACAACAACAACCCTGCAAGGGGGGTTAGGCTAAGAGAAAATGACTGGCCCAAAGTCACTCAGCCGGCTTTCATGCTTAAGGGAGGCCTAGAACTCATAGTCTTCTAGTTTCCAGGCCAGCACCTTCATTACTACACCAAACTGGCTATTATTGGAGCGGGAAATGCAGAAAGACATCTTGTGTAAGCCCATCTTACATTCTTTAGCTCAGATATGGGACTTCTTGGCTTTTATATTGTTCAGAGAGTCCCCTGACACTCAAAAGACATCATGAATGGGGGCAGAGTGAGGCAGGAAGACCAACTATAACAGCTATATTATGATTTTTCTATAGATTGCAACATGATTAAAAATAAAACTTGCCTGAATGCCTTTTAGTGAGGATACTCCCATATAAAGAAAAACACCATATAAAACTGGCATTGGAATGAACTGGAAAAAAAAATCAGCAAATTAAACTTTAAACATCAACAGATCAATGAATATAAAAAATATTAAGCAAACTACCTCATTCCTCCCCCCCAAAAAAAACCACACAGAATTTAACAAGATGAATTTTTAAATGAGGTATGAAAGTGTATTTTTAAAAAAGGAGACTGCCTCTCATTAGAACATAAGTGGTTGGCAAGTATCTGATTAGGAAAAAAAAAGTTTCAAATAGAAAGTTTAAGCTTAAGTCTCTTCACTCATCTATGGCAAAGACATGAATATAAAAGCATGATTGATTTGACTGTAGATGATGAAAGATTGAAAAATATAGTAAAAAATATAAGGGTGATGAGAGATTCAGAATGTGGGACATTTTTTGGTAGTGTCAGTGGATCTTGGGAAAATGAACATGGAAGAAAAGGAAAGTAGAATCACTACAAGAAGAGAAAGTTCTCTTATACTCTTTTGTATAAGAGAAAGCCTTATACAAAAAAAATATTAGAAAACAAATTAATCTCACAATGAAGAATGGAAAGAATGAAACATTTGGAAAGCAAAGCTTTATGCCAGGTAAAAAAAAATCTATTCCAATTTTTTGCTCTTCAGCAGGCTATCGAAAAATGTATGAATACTGAAAAGTTTATTGTACATTTGTAGATTTACACAAAGTACATAATGCAATGAATAAGCTTCAATTATAGGGTGTTATGTGTGAATATAGAGTTGAATCTGCATACTTTGGTTGCTAAAGAGAACATGTTGGTGCAGTACAATGGAGAGCTGAATGCTACAGAGATCTGCTCTACAATATTCAAGGAGGAAGAAAATATACAGTTTTAGAGGATTAAACTTTATATATGGGAAACATTTGAGCCCTATATTATCTATATGTTTTCAGTTTGCTACAGAAACACATTCTAGTTCAGCTGGAAGGTTTAAAGATCAAAGAGAAAGAATTCCATGTATACCTAACGTAGGGTATTAAGCTTACTCTTTGAATTTATGAACTTTCTCAATTCATAATAAATTCTGTGTGTGAAAATGTCAACATCTACTAAGTTTTAGCTCAACATAAAAAATCATGATCCCCATATTGTTCACTACTACTACAAGGGTAGCTAACTACAATTTTCAATTCATTTCTTTTGGAGTACTTCCCTCAGCATCAATGAGGTAATAATGCAATTGGTCCAAAGCAAGACAACAAACTGTTGCAGAAATATATGATAATGCCACATAAGAGTGATTCTCTAAGCCACCATTTTCTACTGATATGCTTCTGCTTTTTGACAGAGCAAATACCAATTCATCCAAATCCCAACATTAAGAATTTCACAACTCTTTTAATACACTACGCTTATAAAATTGTTATAGAACAAAAAGGAGTTTTTTTCCTGCTCCTTACCTTTAATACAGAAGTCATAAACACTGATAGTCCCATCAGAACAAAAATCATTAATCCTGTCACTCTTTGTTCACGGATTCCCAGAAACTTTGGTTGCTCTCCTGGAGCTGAGCACTCAGATTCTACTTTTAAACTGTTGACATGACTTATGGAAAGAACAGTTGCAGCCACAAACCAAGGCAAGCCCATGATAGAGCATATACCAAGCATAATGCCAACCATGAGCAGATCAAGATGATAACCACAACCTTTCTGTGGAGTCAAACACAAATGATTCATGCTAAAATGGTATCACAGGAAACAGATGACAAGTTAACAAAATGTTTAGGATGTTTATATAAAGATTTATTATATAACTGGACTAAATTTAAAATTGTTTCACACTTCGTAGTGTGTTGGTGAATATACCCGAACTGAATACAATGGTCAGTAAAATGGAAAAGGAGTACAAGATTTTAAATTAGACTTAAATAAATATGATGAATACTACCCTCCAAATTATAGGGTTGGGCTTTTTAGAATACACTGCCATGGCAAAAGATTTTCAAGATATTAAAAAGATTTTACAGCTGCAGTGTGTGGGAAAAATTAAATCCTTCACTGAACTGGTAAAAACAGCCAACAATGTTACATTTGTGATTTTGAGTTCAAAATAAGGCTGTGCAAAGCATTTTAAGATGTGCACAGCAAAGTATGTGAGCATAAGTGAAACGTCTTTCCTCAAAATGTTAAAATAGCAGAGTCCTTTGAAACACTCATGCAGTTGCACTGAATGAGGTACCTCTGCGTGTGTATGTGTGTGTGCGTACATGCGTGCATTTGTGTACACATGCACAAATAACACTTATGCTGGGACTAGTCATTTCCCAAGATTCTGCCTGAAATACAGTTTTGGCCCAAACAGCACTTTTAATAATCTTTTGGGCCACTTTTAATTCTGCCTCTTTCCTGCAGTCTTAGAACATCAATATTTCACTAACCCTTTGCCAGTTTTTAAACAATTTTGCCAAGAACAGTCCTGTTGAATGGCAGGCACTAGTGAACTTTGGCTGATCTCAACAAGCTAAGCAGGATTGGATGTAGTTAATACTTCAGTGTGAGACTAAGAGGAAATTCCAGAGCTGTACGCTAGACGGGAAGTTAAAAAAATTACATTGGAAGAAAGCAATAACAACTACTTGTATACTGTTGCCAAGAAAAGATACATGTCCAAGAAGTCACCAGACTCAAGTCTGTTTCAAATGAAACTTTTCCCAGAATAAGTGGTCTAAACTATAAATAAATTAGGTCTGCTACAAATTAAGTCTTTAATTAAGCTGAATACAAGATTTTGACTTCCAAGTTTTATATCTATGTGGAGAAAATTACAATACTGTAATTATTTCTAATTTAAAAACTGAGTTAATTTTTGCATTGACTAATGAAGAAACAGAAGCAAATATTCACCTTGAGTTTATGCTCTTTTCTGTTTATGATAACTGCTGTAATTTGCTGATCCATAAAAATAAGGATGGTACAAAGCAAAGCAGGAACTGCAGCTATTACAAGTGTCCACCAAGGATTACCTCCTAGAGGATTGATGAGCCATCCACGATCACTTCGTGTAGGCTAAAATAAAACACAAATACACAGCTACCAAAAGGAAAAGATATCACTATTTATAAGAGAAACACTCTTGTAAATACTTGTGTAAATACTTGGATACAGACTGTAATAAAATCAATTTAGGATGATGATCGGATTAAATTTTTAAAATCAAGGTACAAGATACATTTCATATGAGATGTAATTAATACAACAGTTCCATTAGTTTAAGATACAGAATATTTGAGATTGCTGTTTGGCATGATCTCATACTATTATCATACTTGAATGGTTCCGAACCTTTTCTTTTTTAAGGTCTATTATACTGCCATTCAAAGCTTTGGTGAACCACCAGATAAGCAAGCTGTTTTAAACCTTTTAATTATAGACTATGGCTGCAGGAATCAAACATACATATCAAGAAGCATTTTGAAATAATTATTTCCATTCATTTATTATGCTTACATCTATGTACACAAACATGTACTTCTTACAATAAATTTATCTGCAGTTAGCCCGTAGTAATGGGGAGGGGGAAGATTAGTATTATTACATTATCTTAATGTAACCCCTAGAAATCACTTGTACCTCAATCACATGGGCCACAGATTGGGAACCACTGCCAAACTCAGTCAAATGGCCTTTTAAGGTAAATTATCTCAATCTGCTATGGAGTAGGCAAGTAATAATCAGAATTAATTAATAGTCCAAATATACTCCAAATGTACATAGGGTTGTGCTGTAAACAATTTGTAGAAGGATCTTGTTCATGAAGGCACAAACAATACATCATCCCAACCATTTATACATTGATTCAGGAAAAAGTCTTGCCACATTTAAAAACTTTCTCCAAAATCAAAAAGACAGGACACTGAGTACAACACAAAAATACAAACTATCATATGAAACAAATATTGCAGATATATAAGCAACATGGAATAAACAATGAATTTTCTAGTATCAGTCAGTCCTGATACCTGCTTAGAACCTAAATCATGAAATATGCAATCAAGTATAAGAATTCCACTGGTACAATTTCTCACTGGATGTTAGTCTATCAAGCATCTACAAAGCTAATAAATAGTCTTGCAGCAGCAGCAGCATATCATATCAATGGCTGATTATTTAAAATTAAGTAATTTTGCTTGCAGATTTAATAAATATCATTTCACAGTTTCATGAAGCAAAAAACTAAAAAGCATTTGCTTACTTCAAATTTTTCAGGCACATTTAGTTTAGGGGAAGGAACTCCCACAAGATAATCAACGAAAACCATAATCACTATTGTCAAAAATACAGCAAAATCACTTATTGTAGAACGTACCTAAAAAAAAAAGATATACATAAAAGCACTTTGGCACTTCAAATACTTATGTGCGTTGCAAAAGTTCTAAAGGACAATAAGATTTATAATTATTCAGACTCTGTAGTATGCTCTAAAGCACTGTTTCTCAACCTTGGCAACTTTAATATTTGGGGACTTCAACTTCCAGAATTCCTCAGCCAACAAGGCTGGCTGGAGAATTCTGGGAATTGAAGTCCACACATCTTAAAGTTGCCAAGGTTGAGAAACACAGCTCTAAAGTCTTAATTTCAGAGTATGTTGAAATAGGAATCCTCTGTCAATGAAAAAAATTTTTTCATGAGGAAATCTAAATATTAAAGCAAAATCTTGCAAAATAATTTATTTAACTAATTTAAAGAACCTATGTCAACTATGGGACTATGAAAATATTTCTATTTATTTTACAGTATACAATGAAATGCTTCAACACAAATGAAGTAATGAGGTTTTAACTACAATTTAAAAATTGGAAGCAGGTAGCAAGAATCTATGCTCCTTGTCATCAACAATTTTTCTATCTCATTAAATATAATTTAGCATTGCTCCAATTTATCATTACTATCCCAAACTTTAACCATGTTAACTACAATTAATGTAATTTTTCACTTTAATATTAATTAAAAAGGAACTAGTAATGCATTTCATCTGTGTTAGCCTTTGGAAAACTTTGACTGCAATTCAGGGTCAATTAAGTGACCTTCTCATATAACAGAAGCATAACATGGGTTGTTAACTGTGCACTAAGCTAAAACCTGTGGTAAGTTTCAAACTCTACACATCATAAAGTATCACTCATTTTCTTAAAATATTGTAATGTTTTCTTGATACCATAATAATTTTTAAAAATTTTTATAATTTTATTAAACATTACAGTTAAAAAGATAAAAACTAATACAAACTTAAAATATAAAAGAATAAAAAGGAAAAATAGAAACTATAGAAAAGAGGAAAAAATAGAAAGGAAAATAGAAAAGAAAAAAATAAGATTGTAAAGAAAAAGAAATATATAAAGAAATGATTTCCCCCTTCATCACAACAAATATAAACAATTTTAGTAACTTATCACCTTTTCTTAAAATACAACAAATGATCTCTTCTTCCCATATCCCATCTCTTTATAAACAAATCCATACAACCTCATCATTTCAGTCCTGATATCAGCAAAAATCCATTAAAGGTTACCAGAGATAATAACGTATCTATTTTAACCTTGGTCAAATAAACCAATTTTATTTCTTTCCTTTTACTTTTAACAATCCTGATCTATAATCCCTTCAAATAATGTCCTAGAACTTTGTTTCTTTTCATTTTTTCTTTGTCCCATCTCATAAAATCCTTCAAAATTTTAACAAGTCTCTTTTGTAAATCCAATATAGAAAAGTTATCTGGTCACTCTTCGGGTTTGTTATTTGTATATCCCTTTTAATTATTAAGATGTAAACCGGTTTCATTTGTATACCCAGTGTAGCATCTTTTTCCATATCATTTTTATAGCCTGTCATTTTTAAATCCACGTTCAAATCATTCTCAGTCTTATCTGGTAAAACTTGTTCCTCTTCCATAACATCTTTTAAAGACAATCTATCTATAATGGCAGACACTTTTAAAATTAACTTCTGGGTCTATTGTTCACAAATATCCTTCAATACGTCCAATGTTAAGGTATTTTGCTCCATTCTGTATTAGTAAGTCAAATTTAAGTGTTTTTCTCTTTTAATTATAATCTTTAGTTCCTTCTGGTGTTCAACTTTCAAAGTCCCATCCTATCATTTTGTTTGTTTGTTTTTGTTTTAAGAATTCAAAACAAAAGCATTTTCCCACAGGAAGGAATCTTATAATTAATTTCAAAATCTTATTTCAAATCCATCTGGACCCTTAGTTCATTTGTAACTTCCCAAAATTAATGTTCTAATCACCCTTTTGCTGCTTATTCCAAAAATATATATATTTTTTTAGTCCTTAAACTTGTGTTTAAAATTTCCTTCGCTAAGGTTTGAAGGAAACTCACCCAGTGTTATGAAAATGTGTTGATCCAAAGGTTCCTAATAGTTGTAAAGCAGGTAAAAAACAATTTCCAAAAGTGATTAAGAAATTAGGCTTGCTGAACCTTGTGTCCATATACAGTAGGCTACATAACGGCTTGAACTTGGTTGAAATCCCATGACTCCCAGCCGCTCGACTCACAAGCTGACCAAAAAAACCTCAGTTCCTGCAGTCTACTCAAAAGGAACAGTTGTTTGGAGTGCAAGTGGGTGATCTCACAATCTCTCTTTTTTCCGGACAGACTGCACCAGCCAGAATTCACCACCGGCCAGCCAATCTCTGCCTCAATGCTGTCCCCACCACTTCAGGGACATCTAGTTCACCTGAGTCCTCACTTTTAGAAAATTATACTGAACCAGGTAGCAATCTGAAGCACACACTTTTGGCTATTTGAGCTTCTACTTCATATAATTTCTAAACAAGATATTTTCATTATCATATCCATGTTTGTGAAATATGCTAATTTCTATAGCACAAGTAATCAACTCAACAAAAATGCTGGAAATAAATCCACTAGAAGCTTTCTAAAGTAGACATTCATGTTATAAAATTTCTGATAGGTCACAAGCCTTTTTGTGTAGCTGCATTTACTTTACATGCATTTTCAGAGTAATCCTAATGCAGTCTTCAGGACACTCTAATATTGCAGATTCAAATATTCCCAAAGCCCTGTTGCTGAACATCCAGCAGGGCAGAAGTGAGGGAGGAGAGGTGCTAATGTCGTCTCCTTCTCCTTCTCCTCCTCCTCCTCCTCCTCATCTATTAAATTTATATGCTGCCTGACTCCCAGCAACTCTGAGCGGTTTGCAAATTGTTAAAAACAAAAACATTAAAACGTGTTAAAACGTGTTAATACAAAAAAACACAAAACAAAGAAACAAGAGGGCAAAGAAACAAACCCAGATGGAACAAGGAAGAGGAAGAAAAGTTCTCCTCTCTCTCTGGCTTTTATTAATGACTCCTTCCCTTTCTCAACAACAACAAAAATCTGTTTTGCAATAAGAGAGAAATGTCTGCATCACTTTTAGGACTAGTTTAAATTCTGAACTGAAATGGGAGTATGTGTGTAGCCAAGGGCCATTGGCTTCAACTAATCTACCATTTTATTTATTTATTTATTTGTTTGTTTGTTTATTTTTGAATTTGTATGCTGCCCATCTCCCCCCAATGGGTGACTCTCCAACACTTCTATTATCCTTTCCTCATGCCAGATTTAATTAACATTAAAGAAAGCTGGTCTCAGAAATTGGAGTGATATTAGGAGAGACATTCCATGCTGGAATTTGTCCTCTCAAGTCTCTGACTTTAGAGAGGGGGATCCAATTTATCCTATGGTGTTTAGGATACTTTGTTAAGGGTTGTATTAAGCATTGCTTAGTAATAATATATTAATATAATTAATATATTAATTATCATTATAATATTATTGTTGGTATTAATAATATTAAGCATTGTAGCCTTAATGTATAATACTGTAGTCACAGGACTGGAAGCAAGGGAGCAGCAAAAAATGTCTACTCATTCTGCAGCCATTCTGCAAGGCTGTATATGTAATTCAGCTTCATGATCCTTTGGGTATCATTATAACTATGGATGCAACGGCAATATTGGAATATACGCAAAGTCAAAATTCTTTGCCTCTAATATTACAAATCAGATCATCTTCAGCAAAATACTTACTGTAAAATCATGGAAATGCATAAAAGCTATCACAATTACCTTAGTGGGAAAATAACGTTTGGTCTTAAACTGCTTGAGGAAAGAGGATAGGAAAAATGTTGTAAAGAATAATATGACAGACCAAAAAAGAACATCTGGGAAATATGGACCATGCTGTCCACAGGCTGATCCAACAAATATGCCATGAAGATTGTTACATTCCTGTAAGCACAAACACAAATCAGATGTTACATTAAGAATATTCAGATCTGAAGTTAAATTTGTGTCTGTTATACAAAAGTATAACCAGATGTGAGATTAAAAACTCACAGTGGGGTGAATATAAACCAAATTACCACATTTACTTGTTAATTTAAAGGAAACAGTTTAATGTTTTAATATACAAAAAATACGTATCAGTTTGATAATCAGTTCCCACTACTCAGAGTCAGTTCTAGCTGGAACAGCCTAAAAGCTCTGTAAAATAAACAAATTGATTTCCACGTTTAACATAATTTGCCCTATGTATGCAAACTGACATTTCAGGCATCAGCAAAATGAGATGGACTGGGATTGGACACTTTCAGTCAGAAGATTATATTGTTTATTACTCAGGACATGAAAACAAAGAAGGAATGGCATTGCTTTTATAGCTAGGAAGGGTATAGCAAGAACATTACTTGACTACAATGCAATCAGTGACCAAATAATATTAATTACACTTTGTGGACAACCCTTTAAAATGATGAATATCCAAGTTTATGCTCCAAGCACTGATGCAGAAAAGGAGGTTTTATGATCAAGTTCAATTTGAAATCGACAGAATATGCAAGCAAAATGTGCTGCTTGTGCTTGGAGACTGAAATGCCAAAATATAAGAGGAAAATGTAGTTGGATTGTATGGCTTAGGAAAATGAAATGAAGCAGGAGACTGACTTCTTATTTTCTGCCATGTTAATAATTTCTTCACAGGTAACATGCCTTCAAACAACCAAAATGATGCCTCTATACATGGACATCACCAGATGGAGTCCATAGAAATCAAATTAATTATGTTTTTCCTAAAAGGAGCTCTATTAAAGCATCAAAGACATGGCAGGTGCTGACTGTGGAACAGATCATAAACTGCTGATGTGCAAACTCCAGGTTAAGGCTAAAGAAGAAGAAAGCAAACCAGTTTCCATGATATGATCTTGAATATATCCAGCATTTTCAAGGAAAGCAAAAGGAATCACTTTGAAGTTCTGAACCTCATTGATGGAGAACCAGAAGAATTATGGAATGAACTTAAAGAAGTTGTTAAGGATGAATGTGAAAAGAGACTGCCAAAGATGAAGAAACAGAAGAAGAAAGCAAAAGGAATCACTTTGAAGTTCTGAACCTCATTGATGGAGAACCAGAAGAATTATGGAATGAACTTAAAGAAGTTGTTAAGGATGAATGTGAAAAGAGACTGCCAAAGATGAAGAAACAGAAGAAAGCAAACTGGATGTCAGAACAAATAGTGAAATTGCCAAAAAGGTAAGCGAAGCCAAAGCCAAGAAAGACAAAAATCTCAAGAAGAAACTTGTCAAAGAGTTTCAGAGAGCTGTTAAAAAAGACAAGAATCAGTATTACATAACCATCTGTAAAGACACTGAAGATGGAAACAGACATAGAAGAACAAGGAAACTCTTTCAAAAGATCTCTGAACTCAAAAGGAAATTCCAATATTGAACTGATACACCAAAGGACATCAATGGACAGATAATAACTAATTATCTGTACTGTAATTCTGTACAGTACAGATAGCAATATCCAAGATACCTTAGAAGATATTCCCTACTTACAAGATATCCCCTACTTACCTCTAGTATTAGAAGATGAAGTTAGATCAGCACTCTGGTCATTACCAAGTTGGAAAGCTATAGGAACTCATGGAATACCCACAGAAATATGGCAGGCAACAGATGAAGAATCAGTAAAGGTTTTAACCAAGCCATGCCAGCAAATCTGGAGAACAACACAGTGGCCAACAGATTTGAATAAGTCAATCTACATTCCAATACCAAAAAAAGGAGACTTAACAAAGTGTGCAAACTATTGTACAATCTCCTTAATTTCCCATGCTAGCAAAATAATGCTTAGGATCACCCAATGCAGAGTAGAGCCCTACATGTAAAGAGAGATGCCAGATGTTCACACTGGCTTTAAAAAAGGGCCAAGGAACATGAGACAGTATTGCTGATGCATGCTGGATAATTGAGAAAGCTAAAAAAATACCCCCAAAAGTCAGTATGTGCTTCATTGAATATAGAAAGGCCTTTCATCACGTTGATCATGTCAAGTTGTGGAATGTGCTTAGAAAAATGGGAATTGCAAAACATCTCATTGTCCTCATGAGAAACCCATATACAGATCAGGAAACACATACAGACGGCACGTGGTGAAAGAGAGTGGCTCCAGGTTGGCAAAGTAGTGACACAAGGCTGTATGCAGGTAATCCTTGACTTATGACCATTCATTCAGTGACCAAAATTATGATGGTGCTGAAAAAATGGACTTATGACCTGTGCCCAAAGTTACGGCCATTGCAGCACCCCCGCGGTCACAATTTGGGTGCTTGGCAGCCCACCCGCACTTACAACTGCAGGGATGCTGCAACTTTCCCATCTTCCCCCCCACCCCCAATGTATGCCCTTTTGGCTGCCCTGCACAGTGGCACTTGGCTGCAGCAGCACCGGGGCTGAAGTTGAGGTCCAGGGCCTTTAGCAGTCTCAGCCAGCTGCCCCCACCCCCAGGCCTCTACTTCAGCCC